AATAAGGGATCACATATTTGCAGGCAACATTTGGATTAAAGATACAAACACAAACATGAGGTGCAGAAGCACATTTACTGAGCTTAAGCCGCTGTCGTGTGACCACCTCGACCATGAGCGACTGCTCTAAAACACTGCCTTTTAAATTACCTTCAGTAATTTTTTTAGCATGAAGCCAATTTAAATATGTCAATATTTCAACAAAAGTTTAACAGTATGGACTAAAAACCATCAACTCACGATTCTGGTTACTTTAAAATTTGGTATGCTGTATCTCAAATACATTAGTAACTATTCCTAGATGGAAATAAGCAAATACATGGAATCATTAAAAAAAGAAACATTACTAAATGTCCATTTGTACAGACAAAACATTAGCAAACATCTAAAATTTCTTCAGTAAAAGAAATTTTAACCCTTTGGTATCCAAACTCTTATATAATTATGAAGACTTTCTTAAATATATTCTTCAGTTAACAATAGGAAGAAACTTTTCTTTTAAAAGTTTCTACCTGAATAAATTTGGTGCCAAGTTTTCATTTCAAGTTCAATACTACTGAGGATAGTTTTACACTGTAACTGAACCATGATTATGTTTGCATACATTAAAATGCAAGAGCATCACTCAAGGAGTTGGATGTAATATTTAACATGCTCTCACTATAATTTAGCAAGGATTTAGATTTAGAAATCATTGGTTTTACTTGAATGCACTATAAGAACAGTGGTTACACTAATAGTAAAGCCTACACATTACACAAGCTGTTATGAAATATAATTAAAATTTTAAACTTAAATTTGTCAACAACTCTGGAATACTGTCAGCCCACCATCCGCTCCTGTCTGGCAGGCAAACTTCAATAGCTATCTCAGGAAATGATTCCTCCATTCTGAAGCACTTCAATAAGAAGAAGAACCAGGAAACAGCAAGACCAGAGAAGTTTGCTACAGTGATAATTAGGTAAAAGACGCAAATACCAGGACGTAAGGATGACTAGAATTCGGAGACTCTAAAATCAGAAAATACTAATTCAGAGTCTTAATTCTGATGAATTTCGTAACTAGACTACTATACTGAAGGGCAAGTAAGTGAACAAATGAAAACATAAATTTCAAAAATGAGTGGCTAATAAAGTGAATCTGGGTTACATTTTGCCAAGAGCCAAAAGTTGCAAATGGATTTCTGACCCTAATATTAAATATGCTCATCATCTGTATTTGCCATAATGAAAATCTGGCTTCTAGAAAGAAATCTATAGTAAGCAAATAAAGGTGGGTCACAAATGCCACCATTATATTAATAAACCAAACTAAATTGGTTTAGTTTGGCTTAAGAATTTCTAAAAGTTCAGCAGCATTCTTTATAACAGTAAGTCCATTAACATCACATTCTAAGCTTTTGTTATTATAGCCAACTGTGTCTGTTTTCTAAACTAGGCAAGAAAGACTTTTCTAGAGTGAGTCACTGAACTTGCTTATATAAGGCTATAGGTGCTTCTCCAGCTCACTAATGATAGTTAAATTTCTCTTGGGATCAAAATAATTAAGTTAAAATATATTACTATGTAGCCCACCTGAATATCTATTTACCACAGAATAAATGGCTGCTAAAGAAATCCTCTCCCACAGAAGGGTATGAGACTTTGCCATTAAATACTAGCATCTGTATATGTGTTCATCTGTGTATGTGGTATTAAGATGGACTAGCAAATTTGCATGACATGCAAGTAATTCTGGTTTCATTCTAAATCCAGCTAAGTCCCTTTATTTCTATTCAGTGGCATAAAGCTATTTTAAAATCTGGTTGACATGGAAACATTCTCCACTTTATCTCTCAAGAAAATAAAGATAAAGAAGTAGGTAAAATTAACTGGCACCAAGTTACTAAAAGTAAAGCTAATCCAAGGCTCAAAATCTGCTATTTACAATGTTAGTAGTAAAAAGCTCTAAGTATCAGCAGATAGTGAGCAAGTTTTCAACAGTCTTTTTCCAAAATCACATTAGACTTAACCTTACACTGTTACTTATTCCATGATCCAAAGGAAAAATGAGGTGACAACTTTTTCATGTTAGTGTATGCCCTTCTTCCCATCAAAACCCCGAGGGGGAAGCAAGCAGTGTTCAAATACTGGTGGTGATGGAAAAACTTAACTATATCGCCCAAGCAAGATGAAAGGTGGAGAAAACTTAACACACTTACTGAAAACTCCAGGCTTAGACACAGAAGTTTAGGTCCTTTAAAGTACACAAACATTTAGTTTGGTCACAGAACTGAGATTTAATCCTGTGTATTTTAATTTTTAGAAGTAAATAATAGCAAATTATGACCATACTATAAGCCAGAAATACAACTTCACATAGAAAAGAAAACTTGGCACCAAAACTCAAGATTTAAAATAAGAAAAGAAAAAGAAAGTCCATTAACATACTCACGTGTGGTGCTAGAAAATTTAATACGATGCACAGCAGCTGAAATGCGTTATCTTACAGATGGAACCTACATTAACAAGTAAGTTATGTAACAAACCGTTCTAGCCACAGACACTTAAGTGTACTTGCCCTCCTCATCTACCTGATGTCCAAAAAAGCACAATTTAAGACTTTGGCCACTTTATGTCACAGAGATATAAAAAGCAAAGCTGGAATTAAGAGCAAAATTATTAATTTAAAAATATTGACATAAGGCAGCTTTTAATCTATTCACAGGAAAGGAAAAATTTATATTTTCTCTTAAATATTATAGCGTGTGATATGAAGAATAATTCAGCCCATTCTGAACAGGAAAAAATGCGCAGCTTTAAATAAGCTGATCTTAAAAAAAAAAAAAGAGGGGGATGTATTATTTGCTAGGACTACACTTTACCATATGAGTAGCATTATAAGGGTACAAATAAAAAAGACCTGAATACCATTACTCGAGGGATTCAAACTGTTATATGTTGGTAGACTAAAAGGGGTAAATTATAAAAATGTGCAGAACAGATATCAAGAAGCAATTTACAACTTAAATTACTGGCAAAACTGACATTTTATCTGTATGTTAAAACTAAATAACCACATATGCAATAGCGATAAATTACAATTACTTGTGCTTTATCCCCAGGCCAAAGACTTATAATTTTAAGAATTGCTTTTGGCTAGGTAGCTCAGGTTAAATATCTCTTCTAAAAAAATCTGAAAGCTCAGTCCAGGGAAGTCACCATAATGCAGGGTCTTGAGGGGTGGCTCTTATACTGAGAAGGAAAAACAGACTGGCACCTGAGGCCATCTCAGCCACACCTGGTAGGAAAGAGACACTTGAGGGCCCTGTAACCAAGGACAGAATTGTAAATAAAAATTCTCATTTTTAAAAAGATACCTAGTAAAAAAGGACATTGTGATAGATATTTATTGGCTCAAAGGATTAAGCTATCCATTAAAATGAATGAAACTAACATCTTTGTAATGAAATGCTCAGGACCAATTAGAGTATTATTTAGAAAATAAGTCGTTAAAAAATCAACTTCTAATTATTTCAATAAATAACAATTAAGCAATTTAATCAATTATGTTATATATGACTCTGTATTTTATAATCAAAGCTTCTGTTATTAAAGATTTGTTTTTAATCTAAATACAGCTAAGAAAAATGCCTATGTAACTTTGCTGTAGAGCAACCCATTGAGAATTCTCTTAATATTCTCATAAGATGTATTCATATTATCAGTTCTTTTTACATTACCTTATGTCATAGCTACATATGAAGTCACCAGGGTCCCTGCAATGTAGCAGTAGATAAAGGCCATATTTATAACACTAGGTCACTATATAAGTAAAGGATCCAAGCCCAATCTAATGATAAATCTTGCCAATGAACTTAATGAAACAGAAGCTAAGATACTCATGACAGCCTCTGGTACTTAGACATGCCTTGCATTAACCTCTATGGTTTTGCTGTCCAGGATCTATTTTCAACATTTATTATAATACAGAGTCAAAGCAATGAAATGGAAACCAAAGGGTTAAACTAAGTTAGTTTTGTGGGTTTTACTTCTCCCAATGTCTAAATTTTCACATTTCCAATTAGAATAATGTGGTTTATAATCATTATGAATCATTCATAACACTTAAGGTAAAACAAGCTGATATTATCAGTTATTTTGGTTATTACAGCTCTATAGCTTACACTCAACATTTAAGGGTGAAAACCGCATCCATTTTGTTAATGCTGTGAACTGCAGAAGAAAAATTTTTATAAAATAAATTTTTAAGAGAAAGTTAAAACACATGAATTTAACACCTAAATTAAACGTATAATGCCATGGCTAGCTAATGTCTGCATACAAGCTCATATTTCTAAATTAAAAGACTTAAACATTAAGATTGTTCTATCAAATTATAATCTAGTTGATGTAAACTGGGCTAAAACAAAGACATTCTAGAATAATGAATGCATCAGTATCAGAAACTCACAGCAAGTTTGAAGTCTTTAATGTACACAGTCCTATCTTCCTAGGAGCTATAAATCATTAAGTCATAATAGGCTTTAAACATGTTCTCACATCTGCTAAGATGAGGAAATCAAAACATAGCAAAGCTGTCTTCAAGAATTTTTTAAGCCAAAGAGGCCTGAAAAGATATTCTAATCCAAGCCAAGCTTCTTGTTTTGAAATCACAACTTGGCAAAGAAAAGTCTGAAGACTCGCCCATGGTGACACAACTAGTTAGTGGCAGAGTCAATGATGCCAAGTTCCAAATCTAATTAGTAAACTGTTTTTTCCATCCAAGTATTCTCTCTCATGACAAGAATTCGGAGGCTGCTGTGAAATTAAGCCCCCTTCTGCTAGTGGTCAACTTATGCCACACCACTGTCCTACTAACACCAGCTACTCTAAAAGGCAATTTTACATTACTAATTTTAAAAACAAAGTTTTAGGACTTTTGCTTACTCTAAGTACTGCCTTTAAACACTACATCCTTGACTACATCTTTACTCGGGAAGAATAAACGAAGACACTTACTCGATATAAGCCCCATTCGCCACAAGGGCACTGACGCATTCCAGGCTCCCAGAGCGAGCAGCCTTGTGAATGGGAGTTTCACCCTCACAATCCTGAAACAACAAAAAGCAACACATAAACACTCAGCCCTAACAAAACTTCTGCCATTTTAAATTAAAATAATTAGCACAGGCCAAAGATGACCTCATTCATCTTTGAAATATAACACTGTGGTGAGCAGGATTTGAAGCAGAACACAGAAATCTCCACGTGGAGAGAGGATAAAGCCAGCCAGGGAGTATTTAGCTAACGTCAACGACCAAGCATCTCGAGGGTGTGAATGCTCTCAATGGTGATTCACAAACCATTTTCTGGTAGATCTTAGCACAAATGTGTTGTACATTAACCCAAAATAATTATAACAAATAAAAAAAAGACACCTTACATTAAAATAGTAATCGAGGCCAAGAGATAGCACATAACAGCTACCGTATGGCCTGATCCATCCACGTTCCTCTGTGCCTACCACAACCCTAACTTGAGTCAACGGCACCAATGTCTTGGGTGAATTTTCTATTTTGAACTGGAATTGGGAATACATTTTAGACAAGATGGTTTGGCAAAGAGAAGGGAGAACAACACAAGGGTCAAACACAGCAAGCTCTGCATAAGAATCAGATTTATGCTTTAGAACTCCATGATGGAGGTGGCAGGAAAGACATAACACAGGCAGAAGGAAGTGAGTAGACCCAGGGAAACTACCGCAGAGACTAAAGTCATCTAAACAAAACTTACACTGTCAGGTAAGTAGAGACAAACAGAGCAAATGCAATCAAAGGTATAAGCCATCAACAGAAGAAAATCATTTCTGTTAGAAAAATTAAGAATTTGTGGCTGGAAGTCCTGAGGGCTCAGTAGCAATCACACTTCAAAGCCACCACCAGCTGGGCTTGGCAGCAGGCAACCACCACATAATCAAGGGATAAAGATCAAAAGCAGGAGTGGGGCAAGTGTGGCTGGTGTGTGACACCAGAAAACAGTTCGCTCAACATTCAGTAAATATCTGGGTTCCTTCACCAGTGCATTAACTCACTGGAGTTTTAAAGCTGGGGTGGGGGCCACCTGAAGCTAAAACAAACAGTGATAGATTAATTTACAGAAAAACAGAGTAGGAAAGGCTCCACTGCTTAGCAGAGGGAAAAGTATGTCTATTTATTTAAACAGGGGTCTACACAGCTCTAAACAGAAAAATCTCATTTTTGAAGAAAGAGAAACACAGAAAACCATGTGGCTACGCAAGAAAACTATTTAGTGAACTCAGATTTTTAAAAAAGCAAAAACCTAGCCCTACTCTCCCAAAAAGGAAAGGACAAAGAAGCAGTACAAAATAAGGACCAATAAAAATTACACTGATATTGCCAGGAAAATTAAAATTGAGATTTAGATGAGGTTTTTGCCCCCTGGCCCGCCAAAAAAAGTTTTTTTAAAGCTATCCTCAGAATAAGATGAAATAAAGAAAGGGTTTGTTACCTTGGGATAGTAACAGATGACAAAGAAAAATCAAAACTACCCAGCTCCTGTTTAGTGTTATACAAGAACAATCTTTAAAGGCAGAATACACGAGACACCAGGAATGCACACACACACAGCAAAGATCACGTGAGGACACGATGAGGCAGCAGCCAACTACAAGCTTCAGAGAGATGCCTCAGAAGAATCAAACCTGCTGACACCTTCATCTTGAACTTTTAGCCTCCAGAATGGTGAGAAAATACATTTCTGTTGTTTAAAAAAAGAAAAAAAAAGGGGCAGAACATAGCCTGTTTAAAGAAACTTGCCACCAAAACTTCCAAGAGTAAGAGCCATGTGAAGGGTACCCAAGTCTCCAGCTCAGACCAGTCACCTCTAAACTATGGCAAACTCTGGTTGATAAAGGGACTGAGAGTGGTGCTAGGAATCTGAAGACAGACCAGGCACCTTGATTTTTAATAAAGGTGCCTAGCCTGTCTAATCTAGATACTACAAACTAAAGGCAACATCAAATGCCAGCTAAAATCTAGAAGAGGTATTAAAGAGAAGGCTTGCAAATACTTACCTAGGCTAGTCAATACAGACTCTAAAAACAAATCACATGAAAGTTGACTTCACTTCCTCTTGGGGAAACCCAGACACTGAGGCTGCAGAAAGCACATCTGCGTTTCAGTAACCACCTAGGCTCACCTAAGAGATGGCCAGTCTGTAGTATTCGCCTTGAGGAAAATGAACTTAGAACTGTTAGCAGCTAACATACCAAAAGATTAACAGACTAGAAGATGAATTTGCTATGCCAGGTTCAAAAAAATTAAATGTACACAAGCAACGAAGAATGAGAAAGACCTGGATCTGGCTTTGTAACAGCTGATATAGAGAAATGAGAAAAAATGATTACCTCAAGGTGAGTCAACAGGGTGTTGGGGCAGCTAATAAAAGGGCTATCATGACCTCAAGGGTCGCGGGTACCCGTCACAAGAGAGGTCTGGGGACGGCTCCAAAGCAGACTCTCTATGGATGCTTCTATACCCAGATGCCTGTCTTGTGCAACCAAGTCCCTAATAATCTGAACACTTGCATGCATATGTGTTTCATTTAGGTGAAAAGATACTGAAAACACACCACGAAAAAAGTGGCACAATCATGTTCATGTTTGTATACTGAATCTTAAATCCCAAGTCTGTGCATCACTTACTCTTCCCACGTGGTAAATAACCCAAGCTACTTATCTGCATCCAGTCCTCATCCCTAACTTGTATCTGAAGCAACGTTAACTTATTTCGGAGCTGACTTAATAGCCCTGCTTTATGAATGTGTTTTTTTAAATAATTATCTGTGGGAATGAGGCTAAGGCAGCCGTGAGCAGGGAACCAGGAAACTTGGACTCCAGGCCTGGCTCCTTTAATTACCAGCCATAACCCTGGGCAAATCACTCTGGACACAGTTGATTAACTTGAGTCACATAATAGTCACCTATAAAGCACTCTTATAAACAGACAGCATTGCTATAGAAAGGGCCTATTACCCACAAATAATTGAAGAAACAAATTCCAGTTTGCCCTCAGGTAAAGATATCAAACTCTAATTAAGGTCTCAATTTAAAACAGTACCATGTGCATAATTATAACTAGAAAAAGAAAAAAAGAAAAGCAAACAGTCAATCACCTGTTTGTTAATGTTGGCTCCAGCTTGAATCAGCCAGACTAGGCACTGAGGATGTCCTCCAAAAGCAGCAATATGGGCTGGTGTCTGGGAGTACCGCGTGGTGGAGACGTTGAGCGTGGCTCCAGCTCTCACCAACTGTATCAAACACTCCAACTTCAAAAATAGGAGGGGGACGAAAACATAGACATGTTAGCTTACTATTAAATATTACACAAATAGCCTAAATTCTATAATGGTGATAAATGGTATTTTTGTTATTAGTTTTTTTGTTTTTTTAATTTTTTTTTTGTGAGAACAAATTCATTCCTTCCTTCCCAATACCACACAAATTTTAAAAGGCATTTAAAAGAACATTTCTCCTCGTCCTTATTAAAAAGTTGGAACACAGGAATAAAAAGAAATGCAAAAAGACTAACACTATACAGATTTAAATATTTTGGTTTCCCTACATTGAATAAACCCCCAATCAGAAAAGATTAGAGAGCATTATTCAAAGCCTTCTACGAAAACTGGGTTTTCTGCACATACTATTCAACACAAAGAAAACGTTAAAGTAATTCATAGGTTACAAAACTTTCTGTAGCCACAGTAAACTATAGTCAAAGACTGTTTACTGTGCACAACTGCACACTTTTATACAAGCCAGCACTGAATATTCATTCATTATCCAATACTCAATTGAGACCCCTTCTCTATATTATTTTCTTAGTCTTTTCAAACTGATTTAAAAAAAAAGCTATGCAAAACAAGACCTACAGCACAGCTGAGCTCTGCACCTTACAGGCGACTAACAAGAAGACTGGCAAGACAAGATTTTGTAGCCAGGTATCAATACTATGCTAGCCTCTGGCTAACAGAATTCATCACGTTCAACAGTGCCAGCGCCTACCATTTACTTTGTCAAGCAATTGCTCAGCTCCAGGTGTACTCTGATGCTGGCCTGCCTGTTTCCTCTCCTCCTGGATCACAAAGGAGCTAGTGAAAAAGCATGAACTGTAAGCAATTCTCTTTCAAGAAGAGGAGAGACCTCACATGAGAAAAAATATCTGATACTCCCATCCTTATCCACCTCTTTAGTAATTTAAGCCTTTCCTTGCAAAAGATAGGTCACTTCGATAAACACTTTTGTGAGATGAACTCACAGTTGGGAGTACACAGATTTCAAACATGGTCTATCTTCAACAAACTTGAACCTAGGAGTGAAGGCTGATGAGACAACTTGTGTGTATTTTGATTTACTGCCTTTATTAATTTACTGAGTGAAAAATAAACAGATTTTAAAATCAATAAAAATGAAACAAAGATGAAAATCACTTTGCTTGCTGAAGTGGTTAATCTTTAACATCAGTTAAGAGCTCAACAGACTTAAATCTGTTACACATTGGTTTAATTTAGGAAACTGGGTTTGGAATTCTGAAAAGATACTGTTCAAGAGTATATTTTATAAAGCAAAGTGTAATTATAGGTTTTGAATAATGTTTAGTCCTCTTGGAACAAATAAGCCTCGCAAACGATTAGGTAACTTGTGCACCACTGGCGCATTTCTAAGAACACAAGCCTGAACCTATATACAAAGAGGGCAACCGCTGGCAAGGTGGGGCGAAAGCCTGTCCTGGGAAGCGGTAGCCCTGAGTCCTGGCCTAATTTCTGCTCTGCCAGCTTTTTCTCACAGATGGGCATGGACAGGAGAGACAGGAATTTCTAAGGCCCCCTCTGTAGCTGAGACCATACAGGCCTAATGATTAAAGACAGCCGAAAACAATAAAGGAATTGCCTCCAGTAAAAACATTTGGTCTCGAAAGTAAATCTACTACTCAAGTTCCTCAGAGAGAGAGACTTTCTAAAAGTGATTTTAGTGAGTTTCTTTAGAAAACATTCTGGCAAAATACATATAACACAAAATTTACCATTTTAAAGTAGTTATGGCAATTTTTATCCTCAGAGATAATTGAAAGCATCCTTGAGTTGGTAAGTATTTTAAGTGACCATTTGTAATGAGGCTTTAAGCAGTCTACAGATTGCACACTGATTATCATGAGATACTGTGTCATCCTCAACCTCTTCTCAAGGGTAGAGAGGAGGAAACCAACCATGGAGGGAGTCTGCTCAAAAAATAAAAGCAGTCCTTGACTGTGAGAAGACTGTTTTCTCCCCAAAACACAGGGACAGAAAAGATGTTGAGGACCAATGCTTTCAGTTTCTAAAGCTTAATGTAAAAATAAACCAGAGCAAGAGGCACTCTGGAGGAAGAGAATCCTCAGATTACTGACTGCCTTGGGAAATCTATTCAAGGCTAGAGGCTGCCGGGAAGGAAATAGAGTGCTTTAACTTTTGTTTGTTACGAAACTGATTTCCCATGGGCACTCGTTTTCTGCAGCTGGTACTGGAATAGCACAACTTTGGACAGAGCTGGGGGAATCCAACAGCCCTTGAGGGTTGATTAACTTGTTTGCCCCACCCCCACCGTCAAAACTCCCTTTCATTTCTTAAGTCTATGACTTTTCCATTTTACAAGGAGAATCAGGAACTGTTTCCCAAAAGATACCAGTGTCCGGTGATGTAGCACTAGGGACAGAAAGGCACCTGAAGCTGCTTCAGCTGGTACAAGAATCTCCCATATGTATCAGCAAAACCATTTATTTCAACCTAATTTCATTTATGAGGGAAAACATTTATAAATGTTCCTGAATTTGGGAAAATTAAAAAAGGTTAATCATTAAAGTGGATCATTTTTGAAATGCACGGTAAACTCAGTTTAAGACAACTACTTCTCTGAGCAAATACCCCAATCGACTTCACAGATGAGGAAACTAGTTACCTAACCTTTTTGAAACTTAAAATAGCACTATTTCCCCCAAAACTTTCAATTAAAAAAGCTGAAGGGAAATATAAAGGCGCCAGAGGAAGATGATGCTGCTTAATTTTTTTTTTTTTTTTTTTTGGTGACAGGGTCTCACTGTCTCCCAGACTGGAGTGCAGTGACGTTGTCATAGCTCACCGCAGCCTCCAACTTCTGGGCTCAAACGACCCTCCAGCCTCAGCCTTCCGAATAGGTCGGCCTATAGGGATAAGCCGCCGCGCCCGGCTAACTTTTCTTTTTTCTAGAGACGGGGTCTCGCTGTGTTACTCAGGCTGGCCTCAAGCTATCCTCCCACCTCGGCCTCCCAAAGTGGGATTACAGGCAAGAGCCAGAGTACCCGGCCAATGCTACTTAACCTAGCCACTTTCACAGTAATTTAGAGCAAGACAAATACCACTACTAATTTTACTACACCTGCGCAAACTAAGAATTTTAAAAACAAATATGTGACTTTCTACGCCCCAAAAACATGGAGAAGCGTCAGCATTCCACTTACACGACCACCTGGGGACTTCCCAATCTAATCAGGTCAGTTAGTCCACAACTGAAATCACCTCAAATACCACCTGCAGCTAAAAGCGAAGCTGCTGCAGGGCAGAAACGGAAAGGACAGTCGCCGCGGCCCGGCTCGCCTCTCGAGCCGCCTCGGGGCCACGGGTAGCGGGAAGCCTCCGGGACACCTGGCTATCTCGAGGGCTCAGCGCCTCCCCCGGGACTCCTGCCCAGGCCCGCGCCGCGCCCCACAGCCCTGCCCGAGTCCCCGCGCCAGGCGCCAGCCAGTCGGCCGGACTGTAGGGCCGAGTCTCCGGGGGCCCACCCCACCGGAAACGTGCACAGCACGGCAGTCGCCGCACATGCGCCCTGCGCCCCGCCGGCCGCCCACCCAGCTTCCGCCCCGCGTTCCCGGCACGCCACGCGCCCACCCTATGCCAGGCCCCAGACCGCGCGCCGCCGTACATGCGTCCTAGGCCTCTCCGGCGCCGGTAGCGCCGACCCCGCTTCCGCCCCGCGCTCCCGGCACGCTCCGCGCCCCCCAGCCCCCTCCTTCCCGACCCCCAACTGGAAAGCCGCGGAAAATGGCGCCTTAAAGCGCCCGCGCCCACCTTGCCGAAGTGCGCGGCCCAGTGCACCGGCGTCCAGCCATAGAAGGAGTCCTCGGCGGCCAGATGGGCGCGCGGCGTCTGCTGCAGCAGCGAGCAGAGGGTGACCAGGTCCCCGTCGCGGCAGGCGCGGTGCAGCGGGAAGCGGAGCGAAAGCAGCTCCTCGCTGGAGAAGCCCGCCTCCACGCCCGCGCCCGCTCCTGCCGCCGACATAGTCCGTCACCGGAGAGCGCGAGGCTACCGGGCCGAGAGATCGCCCGGGTGAAGAGCTGAGAGGCCGCAGCCGCCGGGACACAAAGGACCGAGAGCTGCAGCGCCGCCGCGTTCCACAGGCTGCTGAGCGGAGCGCGTATTGAGGGGCGGGGCGGGGCCTGCGCCGAGGGCGGGGCCCGGAGCGGCCAGAGCTGGGGGCCGGGGCCTGGCTAGGGCCGATGCCTGGGGCGGCCAGGGCGGGGGCGGGGCGGCGGGGCGGCGGGGCATACGCCAGGGGCGGGATCTGACTGGGCCGCCGCCCTGAGCGGCCAGGACAGGGGGCGGGGCCTGGCTAGGGCCAACGCCTGGGGAGGCCAGGGCCGGGGGCGGGGCCCGGGGCAGTGGGGCGGAGCCTGCGCGGAGGCGGCGGGAGCGGGGTCTCGGCCGCGCTCCCGGTCGAGGCTCCTGGGCGGCCAGTGGCTCCTCCAGCCGGATGAGCAAGGTCGGGCTGAGGGAACCTTCCCGAGAGAGAAAGCCGTTCCCTTCAGCGAGAACGAGGCTTTCCGAGTTGCACGTTGCGGGGGTTCTGAGCGACTCCCCGCCCCGCGAGTAGGTGGGACTGCCGGGTCCCTAAGGTCCGCTCGGCTGCGGGCCTTGGATTCCTGCAATTAATATTTATTGGGCGCCTGCGGGCAGCAGGGCTTCTCATTAAAAACCTGAAAACCAAAAGCCCTAATTTCTTTACAGAGCAGGACAAATTATTCGGCTTTATCTCTTAATTAGGAACACCTGCCTCGTAAACAAGCACAACTTTAAAAGCTTAGTCATAAAACCAGACAGCAAAAAATAAAAGGCTTTTTATTGAGAAATATGTTACTGTAAGGAAATATTAAATTCCTTGTTTCAAATGATAGAATGTCATGGTCTCTTTTAAATAAATTGTTTCTGATTTTGAAAAGCATCAATCATTTCACTGTCAATAACTATTAATATTTGTGAATATTTTGTTTCCTTACAAATATATGGTCTACTAATCACATTTTGTTTTATTTGTATGAATTGTTTTTCCTTGTGTTTATCGCTTGTCTTTTTGCAAAATTCTACAGCACAGACATTCAACTTTAAAGTAATGAGATGTCTAGGGAAATACTGATACATGAGAAAGCATATTGCAGCATAAGTTAATAAAGCCAGAAATTGGAAACTTAACAAAGGGTAATTGTTACCTAATAGTGTAAACAAACAACACAGCTATCTATTCATACAACAGAACATTTGTCGAGTACAATGGAGAATGAAACAGATGCTGAGAAATGCTCTAGATATTGTCAGAAAAGCAGCAAATATTTCAATTCAGTGAGCTATTACTAATTAATGGGCAATGTCAATGAGACATAGAATCTATTTTCTTTCAAGGAGTTTATTAGATGTGTCAACAAAAAACATTTTAATAGTTTAAGCAATACTTTTTGTTTGGACCAAAAGAATAGTAATAGGCTATAAACTCATTTCAAGCTTTGTCCACTCTAGAATTTAATCATTCTTCTTTGCACATTCCCAGTTTTAAACTAATTATCTCTGTCAGACATATCCCCTGGTAATGACCTCCACCCTTCTTAGAAGAGAAGTGCAAAAGGCCATGAGCATCCTTATGTCTTGTCATCCACAATAGTGAGAGGGAGATGACTCTTTACGCTGCGTTCTGGGAATGGTGAAACAGAGACACAGATAAGCTTGGGAGCTTACCCAAGGACAAATTGTATGCCTGTGGCAGAGCTTAGAATAATATCCAGACCTAGTTTCCAACCCACTATTAGATATATTATTTTTAACCTTGGATTTTATTTTGCAAAAAGAGTCTTTAGGGCCTGGAAAATAAAAAAGGTTATGGTGATAGGGTACTTAATGTCCATCTTTCCTCACTTAAGATGACTCTGTTTTTTTAGGATTATTTGGACTATATGCGCATTACGTAGCCATAGAGAAATAGGCCAACATACACATATATGGTGATGGATCCCCAAAATACGTCTTATGACAATTGTGGGCATGAGAATTGTGAACAGGATGGTATCTACTCCCAAATGCCAATGTTCCAATTGGGTGATCTCCCAACTTTTGCCCAACTCTTATTATCAATCACAGATTTTCTTTAGGACTCTTGTTTCTAAAAAGCTCTAGGGAGAAGGAAAAAAAGTAGATTCATAATTAACATGTTTTGTCTTTGATAAAGCAACCATAAAAAAGCAAACTTAGGTATTTGAACATATGACTCAAATACGTAAACAGGGTGTGGCATGGTGATTCACACCTGTAATCCCAGCACATTGGGAGGTTGAGGTGGGAGGATTGCTTGAGGCCAGGAGTTCAAGACCAGCCTGGGTAACATAGCAAGACCCTGTCTCTACAAAAAGTTTAAAAAAAAAAAATTAGCCAGGCATGGTAGCACGTACCAGTAGTCCCAGCTACTTGGGAGGCTGAGGTGGGAGGATCGCTCGAGCCTGGGAGTTTGAGACTGCAGTGAGCTATGACCACACCCTGTACTCTAGTCTGGGTGACAGAGCGAGACTCTGTAAAAAAAAAAGAGAGAGAGAGAAAAGAGGAAGACTAGAAGATTCAAACCTCAAAATATTAAAAATTAAAAAACCCCAAAACAAAAAAAATCCTGCTTTTAGGATTGGACTTGTATTTTTTCAAAGAAGGATTGCATTGTGTGAGGAATTGCTCAAGCTGGGCTGGGCTCAGTTGCATGAATGGTGCAGTCACTGACGCTCGGTGTCCATACCTGCGACAGGCATTGGTGGAGTGTCTTTTGAGTGCTAGTGTTACACTAGGAGCAATGCAATACTCCTGGATTGGAGGGCAATACGGTGGGGTTGGAGAGGAAGGCAGGTCCCAGATTATTTCCCATAGTAAGTATATCATGGATAGGGGCTCTTTTTTAATTTCAAAAAGTGTTGGGAACTAGTGAGGGGGTTTGCGGTGCCAGTGAAGGGGACAGTGGAGATGTGGGTGGAGGGTGGGTGTCCAGCTCAGAACTGGCTCTGGGGTTGGGGTGGGGGAGCCAGCTCTGCTGACACCTCAGCCTGGACTCACCTGGGACCAGAGTCTCCGGTTCTCTCCCTCTCCCCACTCCCCACCCACATCCCACCACACTGGCAGATCTATATTTTGAAAAGGCAAATCTGTTTTAAGTTTGGCTTAAGAACAGTTTCCCAAACTTCAGCCATTCAGATACTACTGTGGATTTTCACCACCTCTGTGTGGATTTTTGTATCTACACAGGATTGATATTTTTCTTAAAACAGATTCACTTTTTGAAACTTACCAACTTTATTCACACCCTCTTCATTAGCAAACATTAGTGAGTTTATAGCGCTAGTTATGTTTTTTCCCTACCCACCTAAACAAACACATAGCAAGATACAGTTTGTTCCCAGGACTTCCCGATTGGCTGCTGTCATCTGTGGTGCTAGGACCAGCTTTGGAAAATGCTCCTGAGGAGCGAAGCCCCACAACTGAACGGGCCTGGAGGTGTCTCCACAGCAGGGCCTCCCACTCCCTGTAGACTTCCTGCTACCACTGCAGGGCTGTCTGTCAGTCACATCCTTGAAACTAAGGCTGCTTCTGCCTGGAAGTCTTCTCCCTGCTCCGCCCCCCAGTATCCACTCCCTCTGTTCTCGGTTGAATTGTGTCCCCCAAATTCATGTATTGAAGTCCTAACCCCCAGTTCCTCAGAGTGTGGCCTTATTTGGAAATAGGGTCATTGCAGATATAACTAGTTGAAATGCGGTCACACTGGACTAGAGTAGGCCCCTAATCCAGTGTGCCTGGTGTCCTTATAAAAAGCGGACATTTGAACACACACCTGCACACCACGTGAAGTCGCAGGCAGAGCTGGGGTGATGCTTCTACACGCCAAGGAACACCCAAGACTGTGAGCAAACTGCCAGAGCTGGGGAAGGCCTGGGACAGACTCTCCCTCAAAATTCCAGAGGGGACCCACCTCCATCTTGGCCCTCCAGCCTCCAGAACAGTGAGACAATAAATCTCCCTTGTTTAAGCCACCCAGTGTATAATACTTGTCGCGGCAGCTCCAGCAAAGAACACACGGTCCCTGCGTGGGTCCACCCCTCTCACCGGAGGCTGGGCCTGGCATCCCCTGGAGCCCCCAGGGTGGCCCCACTCCCTGCACCTCCTTTCAAAAGCCCTTACCCCAGCCCAGACTGGAGCTTCCTCCCTCCAGGTAGGCCCCAAGGGCTTTCCAGATGTCTAGCATTTTAGTGTCCTGTCATCTCCAAATGAAAAAATTTAAAACCTGGGTAAGTAAATGTTACTCATTTTTCATCATGAAAGAAACTGATTAAAAGAAATCCTGGCTCGAAGGGTTGTGCCTGAGACTGCACCGCCTACTCTAGACTCTGGCTGATTAGAAACTGCCAGAGCTTTGCTTCTGGCTCAGAGTCTGGGAGCGGTGGTCCGTCTTCCTGGCTGCCTCCTCTCTGCCTGGAGGGGAGCTCTCACCAAGCCCGTCGGGTGGGTGGAAGAACTTAATCTGAAAGTACTTCTGACTTCATGACGGGTGTCTGTTGAATAATGTAGTAGACGACGCTCTCTCTATCTCTCCATCATTACTTGAACCCAGGGCTGTGCCCAGCCCCTATTAAGTCCTCAGTACATGTTTGCTGAACGACACAAAATCGAAGATTGAAATTCAAATCGATCGATAGCTCCTTTTCAGGAAGGGCAGACATGTAGACCAGGCACCTCAATTATAAAGAACGTCAAGATTCTAGAATCTTACTAATTGTCCTGTGTTTTGCTTTTGTCTTGTTAAAAAAGTAATTAGCAAAATCACTTTAAATGAGCAAAAATGATTACCTTTTAAAAGAAAGGATGAAAAGGTCCTGTTAGGCTTAAAGAATTCACCCTCCCCAAACTTCCACCCAAACCTCCTATAAAACCCACCCCTCTCCCCTTCCTTGGGGTGTATTAGGAACTTAGCCTTTGCCAGACCCCTAGGGAGATAAAGTAATGAAATGCAAAAGGGGCACTTACTTTCCTTATCTCTCCTGGTTGTTTGAAAAGAATTTATTTGCTCCTCCCAGAAAAACCCTCCACGAAAATGCTCAAAATAAACAGCATTTTGCTGCACATCAGGCTTTGTGTGTCTCTCTCAGCT